GGAGGGTTCAGGGTATCTCCTAGTCGAGCAGTCTCGACTAGAGTCTTCTTACTTATTTTGTTTTTTCAGCCTCATTGGAATACTATAAGACTTGTAGACTTCCGATAGTGTGTATTTACTGTGTATATACACATGATGAATACAAACATTTTGTAATTCACGGATTTTGGATACCACGCCCCCTTCGCCGCCAATTCGTAAAAAACGTATTTCAAGTACTAGAGACTATACAGAGAATATACATACATTTTAACGTTATGATTATGTCCTGAAAGTTTCAATTAGATTGTCCGCATACAAAAGAAATTATTCAGCAAATAAATTCTCATAATATTTCCCGAACTGCAGCGCAGCCAAGGCGCAGTCCAGTTAGCAAAGCGTGGGCTTATGCATATGAATGGATGTATATGAGTGTGTGCACAAAAGAATCTCAGAATGGGGGGTTCAGGTTATCTCCTAGTCGAGCAGTCTCGACTAGAGCCTTCTTACTTGTTTTATCTGGTTAATTAGCATTTTTTTTTTGTTCGTTGTCATTTGTAATTCTTCATGGACCTAATTAGGATAGGAAATCTATAGATTTCCTTATCTTAGTTGATTACAAACTAGATTGCGACTCTATCTGACAAACAACAGTCAAAACGTAAGCTTTGCATCATAGATCTAAGCACTAACTACATATATTATATGTAGGATTGCTAACATTTGTGGCATTTATGATATATGCCTTTCATAGCTGGTGGCTGGTTCTACTTTGGTTCCAAGGATTGATGTTTTTCATAAATTGTAAGTTCGAATCAAGTCTGTTTGTAAATCGTTTGAGTTTCGTGAAAATGATTTGCATGTGGTCCTTGAATTTTTCAAGAATTTCAGCATACATACCCAATACGGCTTAGCTGGAGGTGCAAATATACGCTTCTGGTTGGCATTCATAACTGTTTGAGTAATTAATTGGCTGCCAAAATATTTTGAATAAGTAGCAAATTGCTTAGTTATATAATTGGATTAGTCTTTGCAGCATATAAGGGTTTTGGCTGAAGATGCTATATAAGATTGGAATTAGTTTTGTACTTAGCAGCAAGCTTTTTACTTCAAAGTCAATGAACTATAATGCAAATTGTACGTCTCCATAGCTTAAATAATATGCGCACAGCAACCTATCATTTCGATGATAGCGATGTGGCAGATGTGAAGCAAAAGATCGCCGAGGCGGATATGAGTAAATGCAAGCAGTCGGTGTTTCTGGTCGATCAGGTTGAGGCGAAAATACCGGCCAAGGGCAATAGACTGAATACGATTTCGTTTGCCCTAAACAAGTGAGTGTTTATATGAGTGAAATAGAATTGAGGCTAATGCATAGATCCTGCTAGATATATGAGTATGGGCATTTTCGGACCCCGAAGGTCTGGCAAGAGTCATTTAATACGGCAGTTAGTTGGCGTGGATGGATTTGCGTTTGGCGAGATCTATGTCAGGGGTCTGGACTTTAAATACGATATTGACACCATTTTAGGCTACGTTGGGTACTGTCCACAGCATTATGGACTACTCAATGAGCTAACACCCCGTGAGCACATCCGTTTGCTATGCATGATTCGGGGTGTGCCAGAGGACAAGATCAAAGAAAAAATTCACGATATTTGCCTAATGCTCAACATGACCGGCTGGATGCATCGCAAGTGCGGTGTGTTGACTCCGGAAAAGCGGAGGAAAGTGAATGTTTCACTCTCCCTAGTTGCCTACAATAAGATTTTCATTCTGGACGAGCCCACATGTGGCATGCCGTCAACGACGCGACGGGAAATATGGAATATCTTACGCTACTTACGCTACTGTGGCAAAACTATTATCTTTGCCTCCAACGACGAACTGGAGTGCAAGGTGCTGGCCGATTTTGTTGTACTCTTTCAAGACAGTGAAATGCTTGCTATTGGCAGCATGCAATACCTACGCTACAAATACAGTCACGGCTTTTATCTAGAGGTTCGATTAGTTCGGGACGGTTCTACCAAAGAGGAATCGGAAGCCAAGTGAGTATTTTCAAGGCGCAATTCAAACATGACTCATGTGAGAAACTTAATTTATCCACAGTTTACGTAAAGATGTTGAGAATTTGGCACGTTTCATTCATTTTCTACATGATAAAGCGGAGGTGGTGTAAGTACTATTGTTTCAATGCGTGCTTATATTTGCATCTTATGTTTTTCTCTGCGTGAGTGTGTGTGTTTCTTGTGTAAGCAGAAACGCGCGAAGAGTTATTATAAAATATCAATTCTTTAAAGGGTTCAGGGGACTTCAGAGCTAAGCAGTCTCGACTAGACCTTTCTTTTTTGTTTATTGTTATGTTGTTTACTTATTTATCATTATAGATCCAAAAAGTTCAACAAGTTAGTTATACTTATATTAATTTAAGAAAATTTATACATAAGAAGTAGAGAGAGGAGAGCGAGAGTGAGAGAGAGAGAGAGAGAGAGAGAGAGAGAGAGAGAGAGAGAGAGAGAGAGAGAGACAGAAAGAGCGGGAGAGAGACAAAGATCAAGAGAGGGAATAAGGGAGGGAGGGTGAGAAATTTGAATTTAAAGTTGACCTTGGAAGACCAATTGTCAACAGTTACGCAAGGAGCTTTTCTACGAGAAGAACCAAAGTTTAAATTTATTCAGGGGTTTTCTTGATAATAATAGTTGGGTTTTAGAGTAGGAGAATTTAATTTTAATGATCGGAGAGACTCCCACTTTAGTTTCCTGACAACATATCTCATCAAATTAGCAACAGTTTAAAACTTATATTTTTTTTCTAATATTGTATTTTATAATTCTTTGATACAGTGGCCATATGCATAATTGGTTCAAGTATTATATACCTGTTGGTCACATTGTTTACTCTTTCCTATATGGCGCATTGGAGAAGAACAAGGTGCGTCTGAACATTTACGACTACAGCATTTATGGGGCAAACATGAATATCGTGATTGCCCAGGTCCAGGAGACACGAGCCGAACTAAAGCGTAAAATGGAGCCAAAAGTGGACAATGATGACAGGGTTAAACGATCAACAAACAAATTCTTTTCCCACTTGTATCATTAACGTCAATATATATTCATATGTATATATTCATATGTATATATAAGCATTTTGTATATGTATATTGAGCAAGATTATTATGCGTAAGTGTAAGTTGGTAAAAATAAATTAATGTTATTTAACTGAGCGTTCTTGAGTTAAAGCATTTTTTAATGGTATAAACTGCTAGGTAATATTTTCAGACTGTTGTTGCGCGAGTTAGCATCTTGAATAAGGAAGCATTTCAGATATTTCTGATCAGTTACCCATTTTTTTAAGTTTTAAGTCTCTAGCTCTTATATCTTCTGAGATCCACGTGTTCATACGGACATACGGACAGACGGACGGACGGACGGACGGACGGACAGACAGACGGACAAGGCTAAATCGACTCAGATCATCACCCTGATCAAGAACATATATGTATATACTTAGTGGGGTCTGTCACGCCTCCTTAGGCTCATTACATACATTTCAACAAAAGCATTATACACTGATTTCCCATTTTCAATGGGTTCAGGGGATAAAAATACATATGTATGTACATATATATTTATATTTGTTAATTGTATGTGGTACTTGAGAACATGAATATGATTTATTGTTTTTTTTTAAATTGAAAGTTTCCTTAATATCATACATTTTAAAAGCTATTATCTGCATGACTATCTGTACTCATACATTTTTAATCATTATTTGAAATCGCGGCGCGTTTCTGTTGTGAACTGCGGAATGAATCGGGGGAAAAAGCAGCTCAAAGGCATGTACATACATACATATGTATGTATACATATGTATGTGTGTACATACATCTGTATGTCTTTGACCTTCGAGGGAATATTACTGAATCACGTGCATATTAAAATTTTATAAAGTTGACTTTACATTACTGAATTGTTGATGGGATATCGACTGAGAATTTATGGCATTTCACATATGTACATACATATGTATGTTCAGGTAGCTATTCGACCTTTTAATCGTTTCAATACTAATTCAATAGTAACTTGACCAGCCAGCGCAGTGTGTGTGTGCTAAGATAAATAAATAAATTTTTTTATTTTACTACTTATTTGTTGGACGTTAAATTTAATAAAAAATTTGGAGCCTTCTACATTAATACACACACACACACACACATACACACACACACACACACACACACACACACACACACACACACACACACACACACACA